GCAGGGCTCGATCCTGGGACCGTCCTTGTTTAACGTCTACATCCACGACATGCCCACTGACGCCGACACAACACTGTTGACATTTGCTGACGACACTGCCATTTACAGATCATCACGTTCACCTACGCTACTGACTACAAAAATACAGAGACATATAGACGCCCTGACTGATTACACGGAAAAATGGCAAATTAAAATCAATCCTTCTAAAACAGAAGCAATTTTCTTTACAAAAAGCCGTTGGTCCATTACACTTACTGACTTGACGAAACTAAAGGTAATGGGCCATGAAGCTGAGTGGTCCAAGGAAGTCAAATACCTTGGCGTAACCTTGGACTATAGACTCAGCTTCACAAAACATACGAATACAAAAATTGGACAGGCTTACGGGATGATGAATCTACTGAGACCTCTTTTGAACCACAACAGCCCGCTAAGCGTGAAGAACAAGCGGACACTTTACTTGACACTGATAAGACCATTACTGACATACGCCGCTCCGGCATGGAACGCGACAACCAAGACCAACAGACGGAGACTACAAATAGCACAGAACAAAGCACTGCGACTGGTACTAGACAAATCAAGGAACCCACTGACGAGACACTACTACCCAACGAAATATTTACACGAACAGACGGACATACCGACCATACTCGAACACATAAAAAAGCTCACCGAGAATTTTTACCGAAAGTGTAGGGATCACGATAATAGTACCATCCGCGCGTTAGGCCAGTACACATCAGAAATGATCTGGTACAGGAACTATGCCATGCCTAACTACCTGATCGAGCCCGCAGTGAATACATAAGCCATAAAACAATGAATAAAGGATTTTTTTTAGGTGACAAAAATCGTCTCCTTTTTTTGTCCTTGCGAAATAATGAATAAAATATTGTACAAATACAAATATATAGACAATATTGTAAAACCACAAACTTTTGGGTAAAATACCCCCAGGGTAGACAAACCCACGTATAATTCACTGTATTTTACACTGTATATATTGAATAAATTTTTATTTCTGTCAAAAAAAAAAAAAAAAAAAAACATATAAAGTTAGTTAAAATTTTTGGGACCCCAAATCCTTTATAGGCAGGGGCAATTATTCATCCTGATAATAAATGTATGTAAAAAATATAAAGGTGACATAGGTCCCGGTTTGTCCGAGTCTAGGATCTAGACTTTTGTGCCGGATTTTTGCTAAAAGCAATATTAACTTTGTTTGGCTCAAGTGCTAATTTTTACTAGAAAAATCAGAAATTTATTCTAGACTTAAAATGGAAAATATATATAAAAATATACAGCCAAAATATAATATTAAAGTTATTATAACTTATAATCAAATAATGAAGTTCTAGTAAATATCAGTATTTCTGAATATAAAACTGATTTAAGTATTTGTTGTTTTAAATCGTATTTAACCAATTTTGTTTCATTTCTGCAAGTTGGGCAGTACGTGGCGCAAGGTACAGAACTTTGGCCTTGCAACCAAAGAGTTCAATTCATCTTGTTTTGCATGCAACCAGATATCAAGTAGTAGAGTAATTAATGTTGACTTGAAAATATGTGTCCAAGTGGGAACTCAAGCCATTATTGTTAATAATTTCAACGATTCATCAAGACTAAAAGGAAAATTGCTAAAAAGAAAGGATAAATCAAAACTACAATAGGCCAAAAATTAGATTACCTTCAAGTCATTTGCAGATAAAAAGCTTATAAAACATCAAAATTCTGATAGCTGATCAAAAACCAAAAAAGAACAATACCTAAATTTCTACAAATTTGTTAGGACAAACCTGCTGAATATTAGAAACCTTATTACGATGGCGTTGTTTTCCTATATGTGAGTGGAGTTATAAATTGCTCTTTGAATCTAATGAGAGACAAAATATGTAACACATGAAATTATGTTCAAAAACAAAATCCATAGATAGTTTTGAACAAAATGCATTTTGTATATTTTCAAACGAGATCCTACATGCATGAGAAAGCGTAATTTCTTAACAACGTGAACTACAAATCAATTCAAGAGGCGTTTTTCAAGGACTGAAAATTACTTAATCAGCAATAAATTACTTTCAATGGCCTTCAAATTAATAACCTACTTTGTTATTGTTGTAGTTTTTAAAAGAATTATTATTAGCATTTATATTAATACACTGGCCAAAATATAACAAAGTGTACAACTCGTTCACCAAGAATTCAGACAAAACTTTAACCAGTTGCCATTTTGCCTTAAGATAAGTTGCATGAATGTCCGCTCATTTAAAAGTAACAGGATTTTTTAAATAAAAAAAATAAATTACTAAATACAAAAAAGTACTACATCAGCGTTAACCAGAAATTGATCAAAGCAATTCCCAACTTATACTTCTAAATTAGTTTTAAGTTTTTTTTTAATTGAGCTAATATTTTATGGGAAAGCGCAAAAAATGGGTCGACTGATCTCTATTGCAACTATTTAACTCGATCAAGAACTTCTTGAGAAAATTGGTCTAGAATTAACCGATCAGTTAACAGGAAACATCAAACTAATAAAATTTAAATGTTTGATATGTCCATGAAGTATCCTACTTTATTCTGAATAAGTATTCTAAAATTTTAGTATATTCGAAATAATTATTGTTTTACTGTTACTAAAAAGAATTTGCTCAACTGATATTAGCGCAAAAAAACTAATCAACCCTAATAGTCTTATTGAGCTTCATCGATAAGCTTTTAAAATGTTTTTGCTACGACCAAAATGAATGAAAGAATTAGAGAAAAATAATAATATATAATAAATGATTTTAAACAAAGCAAAATATAGTTCATAATGTCTCAGGCATGATTTTTAGAACACAATACGACATCCATTAAAAAAGATAATTACCATGCAACAAATAAAAGCTAATCATTGCATATTTTCTGAAGAAAAAAAATTTTTTTTTGGGCGTTATAATAAATGAAAATAATTCGTCAGGAAAGCAAGCTCAAAGTTACTAAAAATATTTAAATTTTTGTTAGATATATCTTGTACTATATCATATTTTTTAAAATTGATATATTCTATATTTGTTAAAAATACTTTTAAAAATATTTTATAAAAAACGTGTACTTTTTAAAAAATAGGTGAGTCTTTACCTGATATGTGTATAACTAATTATAAAAAAAAATATTTCACTTTTTTATTTTGAATAGAAAAAAATAATTTTTTAATAAAGAATGAGATTGGTAACAAAAAATAAGTCGGTCTTTACCTGATATGTGTACCACTAAATACCACCAATTAAAAAAAAAATCACTTTCTTATTTTGAACAGATACAGAAGAATATCTTCTGCTGGTATTTTTTTTAATTTAAAAAATGAGATTGGTACTCAAATTTATCCTTACTTTGAATTTTTATAAATTCGAATATACTGGGTGCGATTTAGGTTAATAAAACTATATATGATATGTGCTTCAATTTAAATCAAATTTTAATCCAATCCACGAAATAATTGGGTGTCACTCGAACAAATGATTATGGGAGGTGTGTGAATAATGATTAGTGCTTAAACATGTTATTTAAAACATTAGTCATGCAATATTTGCAAGCAATTTAGAAATGTGCAACAACAATGAAAGCAAGCAAGCAATATGATACAATTTTATTAATGCATAATGTTTGACATAGCAGTAATGTTAATCATAATTATAATAACATGAAGAATTACATTATTATACAAATGATATTTTTGAATAACTTGATGTAACATGATTCATATAAGATACTTTGCGTTTTTAAAATAATATTCAAATACACTTACGAGTAAAATAAAATGACATGAAAATGGACAGATTCGAATGTATGTAAATTTAAAAACTTTTACTTAATGTAATAAAAACATTATATATATATATATATATATATATATATATATTTGAATAATCAACACTGTTTTCAATTTTTTTAAATTTTCATAACTTGCTTCGGTCCATAGGATTTAACAATGAATGAGTATAATTAAAACAAGCCATTGAATGGGATAGATTAAAAACTAATTACTAAAAACATTAAAATTAAATATCTTTTTGAGTAAAAATGTTAAACATTCACCAAAAAGCAACAAAACCTTGCCATACCAAAGCTATATAAAATTATACTATATGCTCAAAAACTTATTTTTACATTTGCTTAAACATACATATGAGTATATGTATGGCAATTTTGAAAAAGTTCCACATAAAGCATGTAAGTATGTTTTTTTATAGCATTTGCATATAAACCTAAACAAGTATTAAAATATTGCACGATTTAAAAAGGCAGCAACATTCGCTTGAGAGTTCGAGTGATTTGAAATTTAATTCCAAATATCATAAATATAAACTGCTGTAAAGTTCTTAAAAGAAAAGTGAATAAACTACAATTCCAAATATAATTTTTCCATTCTGTTATATAATTAATAGTAAAATTAATGAACTTGGCAATTGGATGGCATTTGCATGCTGTTACTAATTCACCACAGTCGTTCAAAATGATACTTTTGTTTTCTGAATTGGATGTGACTCGAAGAGATTTGAAAAATGTACTTAAATGTGAGATAAGTTCATCATCATTTACTGCATTTTTTAAGGTAGATTCAGTTTTGGAAAAATCTTGAATTTGGTTTGAGATATCACATAACTTGTTGTAAATGTTTTTGTTACATTTACAACCTTGTGATTTAGGAGATTTTTTACTAGGTTTTCTTTTACTTTTGGTTTTACCATTCGGTTTATTTATATTAACATTGTAAACGGTTTGGGAATTGGAACTTTTATCAGCATTACCACAATTACAACTCTTACTAGTTTGTTCGACTAAATTGTTTTTATGAGACATCTTGGCTTTCTTAACAACAGGCTGAACCGACTTAAACTTGCTATTCCTATTAACTTCTAAATTTTCTTCTATCTTTTCAGTTTCTATTACTGATTTTTTAATTTGTTTATTCAATCCGGAAACCAATGGAGTTGAAGCAATTAACTTACCGCGCAAATTCTGGCCCTGGACATCGGTCAGGATTGCGCCGCAAGCTCTGGTCATGACTGCTTCCAGACATCTGATGTTCTCTCGGCAAGTTAATATTATTTCGGCCTGAAACCAGGGATTGTTAAAGTGTACAGGTAACTGGTTAATTAAGGTCTAATATATTAATGAATAGAGTCAATAAGCATACAAAAAATAGATAATTAACGAAGAGTCAATAAAAAAAAGCATTTTATCAAAATTAACGAGAAGTCAATAAAAAAAGCATTTTATCATAAAACACCTATACTACTTTGTGTGTTTTGTTTTTTGTTTCTTGGAATTACTTATTAGTACTAATTTTCATTGTGCATCGTTAGATATTCGTAATCTCATCGTCTTGGATTTAGGATTTATTATTTTTTTTCTAATTTTTTGAAATTGAAGAGAACCAAAGAATTCTCGAATGGACAACTTCTATTGCTGGACTAAGTAGTGTACTTGTAATTTGCAAATAAAGTAGATGGTAATGGCCATTAAATGGTCAGCATTTAATAAAAATATAAAAAGCCAAATATCTAAAACTATGTATTTTATTGACAAAATTAAGGCTCAACTTAAAAAAAAAACTATTCTGAGAGAAAAAGTATTTTTAAAGTGTCCCAGGTGGTAGCTACAAATAATTTTAAATGTTTCTGTATGCAATAGTGAAAATGATGGTGATGCACCATCATATAACTATTTTAATTCTGATTATGCAAAGAAAAATGGATAGGATGGTATTTTATTAAAATACTCTTATAAGGTAATAATTTTAGAAAAAACATTACAAAATAGTATGTGGAAGGAGTAACTTAAACAACAATAATAGTGTAGCATCACAATACAAATTTAGACACAAGTATTTATATAAGTAGTTTTCCCTAACCATTCTGAACTTGGCCTTCAATTCATTATAAATATATTTTTACTTGTTCACTTTAAAGAACAATATAACGAATTTGATTCGTAAAGAAGAACAGAGTATTTAAAATTAATATACAAAATTACAAAAAACCACAAATGTTCCTTGAGTAGACACCTTACAGTCGACAGATTGGCCTCCTCATTAAATTCTATTGCTCTCGAACACTTCAATAATATTTTCAAGACTTGTTTAAACACTGTATTTTTAGAATTGCTTCAAAAAATAGCTCGGACAAGATTGGGTGTTGAAACATATATTGTTATCACAGAAAAATTATTGTACTTAATAGATTTAAATATATTGAACTAATAAAATAACTCGATGGAAGATAAAGCATACGAATTGAAACCAGAAGTAAGATATTAATATTTGATGGCTCAATATTTCATAAGAAATTCTCTCTATATATATTAGAAAATTGAAACCTGTAAAATAATCAGTGATATGATATCACAAATAAATTCGAAATAAGAAGGAAAGGACAACTTAAATGCCAATAAATGAGATAAAGCAGAAAAGACAGTGGGTTTGAGAGTTATCTCTTGTGAAAAGCAAAATTGATAAAAACATTTTGCAATCTATCATATCATAGGAGTACACTTTGATACAGAGCATATGATTGATATATTTTAGAACTAACAAATGAAAGATTTAAAATGTAATATATTTTGAAATTGAAATCATTATTTGAAACATTTAGAAATAAAAGCTGCCATAGCATAATGATGAATATTGTTAGAATTTAATCTATATGGTAATAAATCCATATGAAGATAGTTTGAAGAAAGGTAAACTATAAGAGCCATAAATATAAAAGAATTGATGATTTGTAGACAATGCGATTATTATATGGAACAGAAGGCATAGCAAATTAGGTTTGCAGAATAATAAACAAAAAAGAAGACAATTATCTGGAGCTAATACATCATGATGACCATTCTATTCTTACATATATTTTTGTGACAGACACAAAAGTAAGACAACAAATAAGTAAATGACCAGCATACATTATACATCAAGGAATACAAATGCTACTATTATATGAGAAAAAGAAAAAAATAAATAGAATTACGAGAATTCAAAGGAGATGCGATTCGATGGATAAGAAGGACATCTATAAATTGATAATAAGAATATCTATCAATTTATAATAAGGATATCTATAAATGAGAAAAATTAAAGGACAAAATTACATAGCAAATATGAGAATTCTAAGGAGTTGCGATATAAGGATGTCTATTAATTATGCGAGCTCACATTTAAAGTCTTTTTAATGTAAAATATTTTTTCTTAAGCAAATAAGATGTTTAAGTCATAATAAATATTACCACACTTGTAATGTAGTGGAATCATCATGATTGTTTGCGAGGATATCCGTAAAACTTCAAATCATATTTCTATTTAAATATACTCTTTAGCATTAATGCATTTTAATCTAAATTCATGAAAAATCATTTTTCATGTTACAAAAACTGTAAAAATCATTCTATAAAATACATGCAAATCAAACAGGAATATAAAGCTCACACAATTAATAGCTCCTAATAGATTCGTTATTACCATGAGTTATTTTCATCAAGTGTTGATTACAAATATCTTAAAATTAGATCTAGAATGCTATTAAATCTAATACTGATGTTTTTGTTAAAAGTTAAATTAAATGATATGCGTGCTAATTATAAGCAAAACATTAGTACAAGCAAAGTTAAATTAGGATCGACAAAAATTTAGTAGTAGTAGTTAACACAAAACAAATATAACCCATATGCATAAAAATATAGAATGTAATGCATATAAGAAATGAATAAAACAACAACAAAAAATTAAATCAAATATATAAATATTGTATTAAATACTGCAAGATTACATCATATGTACATTAAAAATACTGTTAAATCACATTATGGAAGTGTATCATTAAAAGTAACTTATATAAATTAATTATATATTTAAAGATTAAAAAATTAGCACGCATCAAAAAAATTTACAATGCAAAACTTCAAACAAAACGTTTCTGCAGTAGATTTTCTAGCATAATAGAGCATAATACTATAGGGAGCAAAACGATCAAACTGCCATGCAATACTTTGTTAAAATTTCTTACATAGTCCCTTGGTTGGAGAATAATTCCTCTGTCCATTTCTGATTTGGGATCGTTGCTGCACCACAAGGCTTCGCTTCTGTCCAATTGAACTTTGGATTCGGTCACCAGTCTTCGTAGCTCATCCAAATCCGAATCACTGTCAGTCATCGTATTAGAACGCATCTTGAGTTTAAGCTTGCTGTTACTTTTCCTTTTCATGGATTCCATATCTGTTAAATTATTTTTCATTCCACAACTATTTTTGCGTTTCGAAGAGTTTTTACTTGAGTCACTATCTGAAGTCAATTTGGAGCTTCTTCTTTCCTTGCTTGAGCGACGCCTTTGATGCAAATCAGATCTAATCTTTCTACGGCAATCCAGATCTGTGTCTTCAGAATTATCGAAAGAATAATCATCTATAGATTTTCTGATGTAATCAGGTGAATTAGCTATCAAATTTTTCAAGAACTTCTTATTGCCAACATCTAGATTTGTTCCAAAGTTTGACAAAGACGAGCAACAATCTGATTGTGAATCTATATAATTCCTATAATCCTCACCAAAATCTAATAACCTCCTTGCTGCCTCAGTATCTACACATTCTGAATAAGACTCTGACAAGTACTTATCCTGATAATTATCCCAAGCTTCAGAAAAGCTACTGCTGTGTTCTTCAGATGTGACAATATTTTCCAGGATTGGTGCATTTGTTATATTTCCACCGATTTCGAAATTTACTGGCATAGTGGTTAAATGGCACTTTTCATTAGTGAGGTGTTTGAGGGTCGGTGAAGAGAGGATGCGTTCTAAATTGATCTGAGAGTGTCCAGAGAACGATCGGGATTTTACCAGGCTTCCTTGTTTTGGAAAGTGTTGTCCGGCCGATGATTCGACTGCGTAGGCATCGTTGCTGGATTCACTTTTTCTTCCCTAAATGTAAAAGAAGAATTAATAATTTATAAAAAATTTGTTCACTATGGTAATTAATAATCAGCATTTAGTATAATAAGTTGCAATTTCAATAATTCAAGGTAAAAAATATAAAAGGAAAAGGAAAATAATAAAGAAATATTGCTCAGAAAGAAAAAAAACAAACTTTAATACGATTAAATTCTTAGAAGTTTAATTTTAAGTTTTTTATATAGTTTTTTCCGAGAATACAATCAAGAAAACGACTAAATCCATATAAATTCTTGTAAATTAAAAAATATTTTTGAAGTAAAACTTCTTTAGGCGCGATATGGGTGTAAAAATTTCTGTAGACGCGACACGGGTGTAAATCCGTACAAATGCAACGAAAACGCCAACGTGAAGTTGAACACTACGACGCAGGTAGGCTCTGATGTCGCGAGTCGCGATCCACTTCCGTCATGTCATGCGTAAGTCGAACGCTAAACCCGCTAAACCCTATATGAACTTGCATTAATTGAATCACGTTTTTTTTACAAAAGAAGAGGTTGCTGTATTATGTCCTCATGGAATAAGACTTTTCTTAGAGAATAAATGTGTCATGGAATATAATAAATTTATATTGAATTGAAAGTCTCGTTGAAGACAAAATAATATATACTGCCACGGATGTTTATGTAGGTTGCCATGCGACAGATCAACAATCATACATTCGTCAGCAGTTTCACAAAAATCGGTTATTGATACCGGGGGTTTGCCGTATGAAATAATTTTAGTTCTGAATAAATTTTACATAATAACAACTAATATTGATGTAAGTGATGGCTTAACTAATGGTTGTGTAGGAAAATTAATGTACATAGAACGTGGCGATAATGATGGACTTCTACGTTTATGGTTTGAATTTCCTGGTAAGATAGGTAACAAAATTAGGAAGAAAGCTTCACATCATATTCAAACTCTTAATATCAGTAGGACAGCTGTGCCGATGCTCAGGAGATCTTATTATTATTGATGTTATGTGATTATTAAAAGATGATTTTTAAAATTCAAATATGATGTTTTTTTTATTTTTATCTTAATTGCCTACTCATACAATATTAAAAGTTTTACTTCAATCGCGTGTGATCCTTACGCGCACTCTTTTTTTTTCATTAACACGCGAATTAAGCAAGATAATTTAAAATACACATACTACATGCATTTTAACACTTATTATGAGTTTATCTATTTTTTAAATGTACATTAAGAATCTAATAAAATACAATATCGAGTAAAAAATTAAATATCTTAATTTAGATTTTGTCAGCAAAGGTAGAAAAGAACGAGATATAACATAATATAATATAATTGTTGAACTTAAAATTTGGGTTTGATTGAGTGTTAAACGCAAATAATGATAGTCAGTCAATCTAACAAATATTTCAGGTAACTATTCATAAAACTTCATAATATTTCAAAGGTAGCTTTTTTATTATAATATTATTGTTTTCGGATCATTCTTAGATATATTTGCTATTGCAAATGTTAGAGTCGTAAAATTCTTTTCTATAACTGAAAATGTAGATTTAATGATGAAGGTGTACTAGAATTAATAAGTCAACTCAGACCAGCAAGTTTCAGGAATGTTGTAAATTAGTTTTTGATTTAGTAAAAATAATTTATATATTCACAAATTCTTCAATATGCTTCAATTTTTTTACTGCGATTCATAAATAATTTATATGTTCCTTAATATATAAATTTAGTATATCATCTACGAAAAATGAATTTGATATTCTAAAATATAGCAAGCAATGCTGCTTTGTGAAAATATGCAGATTTTACAATATTTTATTAATAATATTTCATTCGAATATTAAATGATTAAAGACAAACTAAGCGTTTTTTTAAATACACAATTTTTTACTTTTCACGGAATTTGTTTCACAAATTTTAGTTTTTATATATTGATATACTGATAAATCATTCAATATAAACCCTGACATAACATTTGTGAATTCATCACTTATACCTAAATAAAAATTTGAAATTCCGGTTCAAGAACACAGTAGTAATTTTCCACTCAAACTTTTTCACCTTAATGGTGAGAATGTATATAAAACAGATAAAATCAATAACGATGCAAAACATAAAGAAATTGTAACAGCAAATATTATCAAAAAAATATTAAATTTAATATTTTGTTAGCACTCATTTTCACACAGAATAACTTAGATTTAAACAACACTTTGATATAAAAGACATACTAAAATTCAATAACATTCTGCATTAGCAAAATGCTCGGATCATCCCCTCCAGGATAAAATAAAGGTAAGGAAGGTATTCATTACCATACGAATACCGTTACTTTTTTTGAATATTTTTATTTGATTAACCAGACACTGGTTAAATTTTTAAATAAAATATAATTTGACTAGATGCGCGGAAAGATGCATAGGAAAGTAATGCAAAAAGAGTTAGATTTTGAATAATATAATTTTGTTTTCATTCGGAGAGATAATTTTTTTCAAAACGCAATTTGTTTTAGCTAAGTTACCAGTGCTACTCAAAATAATAATAATAACTAGTTGGTATTGGTATTTTGCCTTGAGGCAAGTTACATGAACTTCCCGATAAGTGTAAATAATCGACTTATCAATAAAAAAATAATTTATGAGTGATTAAAAGTATTCTTAGTGGATTTATTATACATAATTGAAAATGAAACGAACATGTTAAATCAGAGTATTTTGTAAAAGCAAATTTTCAAAAATCAATATTTTTTTTATAATTGAACCACTTTCCGTAAGACTTTATAATGGTATAGTATGTTCATTAAGACCAAGTACTCTATCGTTATACCAAGTAAATCGTCTAATTTTAATTCTAACAAACGTCAAAAAAACTACTCATTTTCTTAAACTTTTACGAATTTTTAAAATTAAATTACTTGCCGTAAAGGCCGTAATATTTCAGTAAGTTCTATAAGACCATGATATTTATCGCCAAAAAAGTTCCATAAAAATTGGTTTTATTTTTTTTTCAACAGTCAATTATAAGAAAAAGGCTCGGTAGATTTTTACCCAAAACCAACAGTATCATTCCCAACTAATATCTTTCGAATAGTTTTTGATTTTTTTAAATCGATTCGCTAGTATGAGCTTAAATGTGGACGCAAAAATACAACTTTCGATTTGATAAAAATTCACAATTACTCCTCGTTCTGGAAAACGATCTAATAAGCAAGTTCTTCTAATATCAGGTTTTAACTTCAAGCAAATACTATTTCGCAAATAGTTAAATATTTGTCTGATATAAAATATAATAACGATTTATAAAACATTACTATTGACTCACTTAAACAATGTTTACTTTTCTGGTTACTTTTTTTAAATATTTAAATTCAAATCAAAGTTGTCGGCTAAAGTTTACTACTTTATAAGTTCCAACTTTACAATAGGAAAATGGAGATATTTCTTACCTTTATACAAATATTTTAAAACAGGCAAATATTAGATTTGGTCCATAATTTTGTAGTCAGGTAAAAATAGTACACCAACCTGTCTTTTCTTCAGCCTGAGCTTTTTCTTCCTGATATCGAATTTATTATCCGTTCTGCCGAAATCTCCTTGATAGCTAGCCATGTTATCCAAAATGTGCAAAGCCGATTCCGAATGACTGAATTGTTGGGCCATTTTGTTCTTTTGTAATCCATCAGTTGTAGTTTCATTTTGTAAATTTTCCACGTTCAACATTTCACCATTTGGAGTAAGTTGGGACACACATGAGACGGACCATGGACGAGTTGCTGATGTCTTACCAGATCTCATAATAACCTAGATGAAAAAATATTTTAAATTTTTCCATTTTGTTCAATAACAGATGGTTTTAGATAAATTTGAACGTGGACAAAATGTAGTATCTAATTGGTAATAATTAGATACAAAATTTTAAGAGAATTATTCCATATTTTTGTTTGATTTTTTTTTCCTAAACATGTCTAACTTAAGTATATGTATTTTTAGCACAACATTTTATTTGGCAGTACCAATAACACATATTTTTTCGGAAGACATCTCTTTATAAGATGACTCATAAAAAATGTGAACCGTGACAAATACTAGGTGATAATTGAATACATTTCAACAGTTTCAGTCTCATACTGAAAAGAAGTTTCGAAGTTTTACTGATACTTTTGTAACAAAGTTATATGTAATTTTTAACAAAACATTTAACGATGTAAGTAGTTCTAATATCTCCTATTTTTTGCAAACACGTCTCATTATAAAGACATCTACACATATCCATTAAAAGGTCATCATCAGCTTTTCACAATTGCTTATTTTTCCTAATTTGTTCCATCTTCATTGACTTTAATATACCATTGTATATATACTGTATTTTTTATAAAGCCAAATCTACAGATTGTTTGCAAAAGCATTGAAACGTTGCATCTATAATTATTTACATTTAAATTAATTAACTTTATTTTTGAAGCCGATACTTTATTTTTCATTCTTAAAGTTTTAGTTTCAAGTTTGAAGCGTCTTTCTTTGTAATGTCGATGTAAAAATTAGCTTTTTGTAATGTATAAAACATTTATACATAATGTTTATTTTATTATAAATATTGCTCATAATCCATGATGCAAATATACTTTCATACCTGCTGATGAAATTATCAAGATTCCGAATATGTATTGGATTTGTATAAATTTATTTTTGATAGTCAATCATAAAAGAACTTTAAGGATTATTCTCACCTTTAACAATAAGATCGTATTCAATGCACAATAAAATTTTGAAAACTATAATAGAATGGAACTTGCATATAAATTTATCATTGTAATTTTGTAACAAAGGGAGGTAAATAATACACAAACAGATAAAATAATTTTGATGCTTTGTATACAGTAAAATATGAATAAAAGTTGATATTCTACAAAGATTTTAACATAATTTTAGGTTTAATAACAATGAAGCATACCAAAACTTATTATTGGCAAATTGTAGTTTATCGGGCGTTATGATAAGTAATGATCATGTTTAAAAGCAATTAAAGTTTTATTATTAGATATTTAAATGTGTTATATTGAAAAAATAAAAACTATGCTACAAAGTTACAAAAGTTACTTAAATCAAGAGAAATAAAAACTATGCTACAAAGTTACAAAAGTTACTTAAATCAAGAGAAATGAAAAATATACCAAAATATAAATCAAAACCAAGTTAACCAGCAATCAAAAACACATATTGGAAATTATTGGGACATATTTTTTAAAAATATTGTAAAATTAAGGTTGCAAAAATAATTTATACAAGTTAATATAGCAGTAATAGCAATAAACTAGGGTTTGACGTTTCTAAAAAAATCGTTTTTAGGAAAGAACTATGGAACCCAAAAACCGTAACTAAGGAACGGTTTTTAATCAAGAATACCGGTTTTCAATGTATAAAATTTAATATAAAAAATATAGCCCAATGTATGAGATTGTTGGAAATACTGTTTAAAATCCTTAGTTTAACTATAATAAAAATATTTACACCCATTCATGTTAGAATTATTGAAAACAACAAATAAATAATTGTTTTTAAAGTTGTCAAATCCTAAGTTGCATAAAGAAGGTATTGTCAATAAAGTTGAACAGTAAATAATTCAGTAAGAAATTGCTCTTAATCACTCGAAATTTTCTATTAAATATTTGTTTTTCGAAAAATTATTTCTTTTTCTTTAATTATTCGAGCAAATTTATAAAAACACGAAACCAGTTAAAATCGACTTTTTGGAAAAAGTGCTATTTGGAAACCGTTTTTCGAAAAATTTAAGTTTCATCAAATTTTTCATTCATCCTTTACCTTAACTGGAGTTGGACTATCCGGCGAACTACCCCCGTTGCCCCCATCCGTCAGAGGAACAGTGGGCGCTCCATTACTATCCGTGTCGATCAATTCCGTGGAAGTCGCTTGCGAGTCTCCAAGAGCACGCCGGTAAGTCGCCACAGAGCCCGAAGGTTCGCCTGAGCTCTCGGCCGATCCTGCATGGGCGCCTCCTCCGGCTTCGCTGTCGCTGCTGGAGGTGCACTCGCCTGATGCGTCGCAACTGTCGAGGGGGGCGCTGCCTGATGGGGAGGTAGAGAGACCGCAGGGCGAACTGGATTTGCGGAGCCATTCCTAAAATAATAATAGAAATTGAAATGTTATAAAATTATAAACATTATAATTATTAATTATCGTTAAAATTTTCCGAAGACATTATTTAGGTGCACACAACCGTCTCTAAGTAAATCCTGCAAAACTGTTTTTCAAAAAATCTTTTTTATCAAAAGAAAAATCATTCAACACTTTCACTGCAAACATTGTGTTCCTTACAGAGAAAGTACGGGCATAATGCCATGGTGTTTTGTTTTTAGTGATATTTATTGATTTAATTATATTATAATCATTCTCAATCGTTTCTACTCATTTTTGGTTCATTATATACCTGTAAGATAGTAATTTAATTGAGTATGAACTATAATAACAGGTTTATTAATAAGAAATGCAACCTAATACAAAAACCATTTTGTCCATATAGCACGGATAAATTGACATAGAGGGTTAAGACATACTGAAATTCTTGCTATAAAGAAAACAGTTCATTAGCATATGCAGCATGAACCCAAATGGTACAAGTCATACATCGTAAAAAATCTTCGTCTTCTTTTCATCGGCGGATCTTTTGGTCTGATTTTACTTATTAGTTCTTCCATACTCACTATTAGAGTAGAAGTTAAAAGCCAATCACTTTTGACAGGTTTTAATTTTTTTCTAGGTCCTCTAATGCTTGCGAAATAATACTATATATCATTTTGTCCCTTATATAAATCAGAATTACATCAAACACTTGATTATTACAATAAAAATGATCGTAAAAAATATGTATAACTTAATTGATTCTCATTGAAATAATTACGAATATCAATAATTAGGTCACAAAAAGTAAGAGAAAACCCTAAAAATAAACTTTTGTATGCGCGAAACACTTTTGAACTTATCGCTTTGACAATGACGCTCAACATCTGACAGGATTATGGGTTTCTTTATGTTGTACAGCCGCGAAAACGTTACTTAAAACTAGCCAATTTCTAAATTATGGATTCTATATACTATTTTGTCCGCATTTTCCCTACATCCCCCTGTGCTAGATCTTTTTATTCATTTCATATTAAATAAAACGATTCTGGAGATAAAATAATGTTTCTTAGCATGAAAGATGTACCAAAATAATTATTAATAATTTCTGTTTGAAATAGTTACAGAACATTTCAGTTCAAACATTTTATTTTACTAAAAATACTACTATAAAGTGCTTTTGAAGAATAGCTTAAAATGTATTTATATCCTCCCCCATTTCAAATTGCTAAAATATACTAAAACCTTTTCAAATCTAATAATTATCCTCATCAATAGGCAATCATCAACACAATTTATTAGGGTCTTAGAGGCAGCCTGAATGGTGTCCATAAATTAATTTTTACCATATTAGAAATAGGCAATATGAGTGAACATTTCAAAAATTCCATAATCAGTTTTCAAGAAAGTTCTTGAGTTGCAATAGAATATATTAACAAATGTAATCGCAAAATATATCAGTAAAGCTGCCGAACTATATAAGCAATATATATTTTTTTAAAAAATGCTATTTTGAAATCAACAAGTGACAAAGTTTTGAAAAGTAGAAGTAAAAGGTTGAAGTGCAATAAGATATAAAGTTTGGAAAAGTATAAGTAAAAGGTTTTCGAAATTTCAATGTATATTGATCAAATATTAAAAATAAAATTAAAATGAACAGAACTTTTGTACTTTTAGAGCCAAACCTTCTTCAACCTAATAATAGTCCTTGCCGATATAGAATATATTTCAAGTGAAATTATATTTCAACGAAATTAGGAATACAAGTACATCAGCAATATTAAGAGTACATCAAGAAAAGTTACTTCAATAAAAGCAGGTTAATGATAAAAATCAAGCATAATCCAGGGCAATAGTGAAAAACTAATAATTAACCTACATGTGCAAATATTTTAATAAAATATACAGACATTATTACGTCAAAACGTATATAAACATATAATCTCTAGTAATTAATCACTTCGTTATTAAATTTTATAGTCAATGATTCAAAGTGTATTTGCGACGAACATACATGATTAATCTATAGTTAATGAACAAGTAATGAAAGATTAATGAAGAAATATATCGCAGAAAAAGTATAAGAGTTTAAATGAATATTCATTATAACGTTTCTTCTAACCATTGAAGTGGTTTTTATTATACAGGAACCGTGTTATACACAGGAAAACTATGTTTATAGGAAATTACAACTTGACGTGTGTGGTAATAAAAAATGGAACATATTGGTAATAGATTTTTAATAAAAAGTCTAACGTGTTGGGGCAATAGAAATTTACCATTTAAATTATACCATTTAAAGAAGATAAATAAATAGTATTTTCATTATTATTATAATGAGAAGAACTGGCCGATGTTGGAACCAACCTGGAAGGTAGGTCCACGGTTTGAACCATTACACCACGTTGGGATCGCATAAGTGTTTGGAATATAGACATAAAATTCCAAGTTATTTCGAAACTATTTAGACTATAAATAATTAACATTTCGTACCTTTATCCTTGAAGCATTATCAAAATTGCGAGATCTGCCTTGTTTTCCAATTCTTCCGCGATCAGTATCTTCTCTTACCAGATGTTCAGCCTCTTGCACCAGCTTCCTAATATTTTCCTGGGTCTTCCTCGTTGCGTTCTTCCTAACTGTAGGAACAATGACTTCTTGGTTATCATTCACAGCATTATCCAAATTCCCTGCATTATCCACTTGGTTGTCCAATTTACCATGATGCTGCCCGTTGCCGTTGACCATATTTTCCAGTTTCTCCGACATGTCCTGCTGTTGTTTTTCGTTGTCACTTTCCGAAGACATTATGGCGAATTCTTCGGCATCAAATTCTGATCCTGTCAAGCCAACGTTGCTGTTGCTGCGGTGATCGATTTCGGAATCGGTGTCTCTGTGTTTGAAGTAAAATGTGGCCACGTTGTCAGCGGTTCGATTCGATCGGTTGTATTTGGAAATTTCGATGTTTTTCACACGTTTGATAACGGTGTCGGTGATTTTGGTCAGGACGAAGTCCTTGTCATCGTTGAAGTCTGAGTCTGAAAAATAAAAAAAACAGATTTTATTAAGATTACCAGATCAAACTAATACTACATCATTCGGAGATGTTAATCTAAAGATATTAAGACATGTCATCATAGCATTTTCATTAAAATCATCAACACAATTTAAATATAAAGGCAGTGGCAATGTTGTCTGAAGGATGCCATGAATTAATTTTCACCATATTGGTAATATAAGTAAACATTTCAAAATATTAATAATCAGTTTTTAAGCAAGTTCTAAATGTCTAATAAACTTCTAGAATTTTTAAAAATTTACCAAGTGAATTTTCCTTTGAAAAATAGAAGTGAAAGGTTTTTTTTTATTTTCTTTATTGAATTACAATCTTTCTTTACAAAAAGGAAGACATTCAGTAATTTTGATGATATATGGAATATTAAACATTAGATTTAGAAGGTTACCCAGTAGTAAGCCTTTTTAATGTTGATATATTAAATTTAAATTTTGTGATTATATAGAAGAAGCGAAAAGTATTGAAATTTTTGTGCGCAATAACTAGGCAAGCAAATGCTTTAGGATTACTTAAACTTAAATCTTCAAAGTTAATACATGCTATACTATACATTTTTAGCAACTTAGTGCTTTTTATCAAATAAATCCTAAGCAGTTAATTGATAGCAAGAACATGCCAATAAATACGTAGGATATAATTTATCAAATCTAATTTATTTCAAACATATTAAGAAGCTCTACAATTTACTCTTCCACATGTCCAAATTCATTAGATTAAAAAATGTTATTACCAGATAATTAAAGATTATGTATTGAAGTTATTCAACAAGCAATAAAAAACAAGCTGGTTAGAAGTTTTAATTAAACTACATGATTATCAAATATCTATTCATTCATACTAATTTGTAATATAAATTTAAATTATTGTATCGAGGATAAAAAATCTATAAATTTAAAAAATCTCTATAAATTATTCCACCAAAAGTAAAACGTGCAATGAAAGACATGCGTCCATCACCTCACCTTTTAATATACCGTTCTTTTTGTTGTGTAAACCTAAAATAAATGAAACTATATTTTATATTTATTATAAAAAAAGATTTTTCAGATATTTTGCAAGGTTAATAAAATATAGACATTAATCCTAGCGGTCATATAATGAAAACATTTTTTAAGTATTAGAACTGAACTAAAAATCTTTATAAATTGTTGAATTTATAATAAATTGTGTCCAAATTTTCATAATGTAATAATATTAGATTTTTTTGAAAAATAATTGAAGGATAATCGTTATTTATTGATCTCTTATTTATTAACTTCAAACTAGAACAGAACCAAAAATTTTTAAATCGTCATTCAAATTTAGTAGATAGTAAATATACCAATAAAAATTAGGATGACCACTTTCTTCCAGCAATAGGTTACTAAACAATTCACTGTAGAAGTATTACAAAGTATTATTTATTAGTTAGTTATACTTTATTAAATGAATAAATTTATTTATTAAGTAATTATATAGCCATTTTTTAAAATAAACTTGAACCAATTCATTAAATTAAAAGGGAATAAATTTACTAAAGAAATATATCAACTTAAATGATGAAATTTTCAAATCATCGTATCAAATTAATACCTATTAGTTTTAAGTCTTTCAAGTTCGTCATGTGGAAGTTAAATATTTTGTATTATATTATTCTTTTCAGAACAGTAAACGCCCTTGATTTTTTTGCACTACAGAATAAGTCTTACAAGCTCCAGCCTAAGATAAATATATTTTATATAAAACATAAGCAAAAAAATAACCTTGATGATCTCAAAGATCTTTATTGTTGAATCCGTGTGAACAAAAACTGAATTGTCATCGTATATTATGTAAAAAGTCTTATAAATATGAGGGATTGGCGAAACTTATTATGTATATATGACCCATGATATAATAGAGTGAAATAACTTTCAAAAATAATTTGCCATTTCTGACATGTTTGATGGGTAATAAAATAATATATTAAGTTGATCAGAATATAATCTCTATAAATTTTACCACTATTTTTTTTATAAATGCTTAAACATAATATTTTTGAATTGAATAAGCACAATTTTTTCCTCTTTTGATTTTACTACAGAAAAGGTAAAGTCAGGAAAATTTTGAACAAAGTACATGGAAATGTTGTGCTGAAATGAAGAAAAGAACCACGTTCAAAATATTCTCCTGAAACTCCTTTAATTTCATTTTTATAACAATGATTTTTATTCCTGAAACAGTGTCAATAACAAGATATTTAATTTTATTTCATATCGCACTTTGAGATTTTGAAGATTACAATTCACTACGAAGTTTTGTCAAAATCGTTTAGAAAAGCAAGAATAATTTATACTATTTAGAAATTTCAGTACAAAAATAAGGTATGTAATATTTTTTATGCAAAAATAATAACAATGAAATCAAATCACTGTAGGTGTTGCACATTGAGTATAATGAGAAACAACTTGCATAACAAAAATTATATTTAAGTTTTTTAAGATTAGACTTTTCAATCCAATACATATACATATGTAGACGACAGAAAAGCTTTTAGTAACGGTGTTCTTTATTGGCACAAATATTGATAGGATAATTTTTTGTTTAAATCTTAAGCAAAGGCGTTTGTATATATATATATATATATATATATATATATATATACGTGTGTGTGTATATATATGCTTTAGTCTTTTACCATAAATATGTCATCGATGTCTTTTCATCTGCGAAAATGTCTGTTACACCAGTGTGAAAATTATGTAGCTTTTATATGTTTTACCACTCTCAAGTTTCAATCTTATGTCAACAGACAAAATAAGCAAAACTATCTTAATGTCAACACAAAATAAAATATTCCACGTCGGCTGCCTTTATAATCTTAATATAACTTTTCTGTCTTTAAGAGACTTATGCAACATCTCTATCCATCCATGCCTTTATATTATCTTATTAGTCTCAATGTAAGTTCTATAAACTATAAAAATTTTACATAAAAGTTGGAAAAACTTTCAAAAAAGCAAAAACAAACAATAGTGTATTCCGTGTTTATCAATTTTACAAAAATCAATCGTTAATTTCAATCCAATTTGAAACCGCATCAACTCCATAAATGTAAGTGAATTATCATTAACGTGATCGATAATATATATTCCAAAAATAAGTGATAATAAAAAAAACTATTAATAATAAATTTGTTACACTAAATTACTATTATTTTTGTTTCTACTGACAAGAAGCAACAGCAAAATTTACTAAGAAAAATTTTTGCTGTAAACAGTAGATACAAAGTAAGGCTCTTACTTTAGTATCTACAGTTTTTTTACCTGATTGTAAAGTAAAACAACACGAAAATGAAAGAAGTCTACGATTTTTCAACTAAAAGTTTTGTTAAATTATTATTAAAAAAAAACTTTTGAAATCGATACCTATGGTATTTATAGTGATTAATTTATGCAAAGTATAATTACGCATTGTCACTATTTAAGGAGTGCTGATCTTCTATATGACATTAATATGGACTCAACAACTACCGAAATTTTTAGGAAGAATCATATGAAGACTACCCCACCATTATTTTTCAAGATGGATTTTCAATTAAAAATCTTAGTGTTTCATTTAAAAATTGTATAGATTTTGCAACTATATAGTATATCATTGTTGTGTTTAAAAAACAGATAGTTAAAGAAAGTAATTTTTCGTAGAAATCACCCTACACCACCTGCACCACAAGCAATTTGATATAAATATTTATATTAACCTGTGTCCATATCGCTTGAAGACGTGTCCTTAATAGAAATCCTTTTGGCCGTCCTCAAAGCTCCGTCCAGTGATTCGACGTCCGCCTCGGAACTGGCGCCACTTGCAGGTGATCCAGATGGGGCCCTCTTGGGCGGGCAGGTTAGCGCTGATGATTCATCCTCCTGGAATAGACAATTTTTTTATTTTATTGTTTTGTTCAGCAATCAAAATTTAAGAATCCTATAGGCTGTTGGAATAATTTGATTTAATACTATGTCGGTTTCACATATGGCAACCCAAACAGATGTTTAATCTCTGTGTGAAAAATTTACAATTTCTGTAATTAGGCGAATATTATATTGACGCAGGAATGCCGGAATAGGGCTATTTTCACTTGGAAACATTGCTATCTATATTTTCAAGGGAAAACCAATGTCACTATTGCTTGAGGCCACTTGAGGCTCTTCGAAGTGGGATCGAATCTGGGACCTCTGATTCAGGTCTAGTCGCTCTAGCCACTTACCAAAGAGTGAGCCCTAACTATAATATATATAGATAATTGATGAATATTTTGACAAAATCTCTACACATTGAATAAATTAATATAACACAATTGGATAATTGTTAATTTATTGAAATATATAATATTGAAAAAAGAAGAAACTTTGATCACATATGAGAATATAGCGATAGGAGTGTTTAATTCAAAATTCACAAACATTTCAAAGAAATCCTTTTTCCAATTCATAAAATAAATTCCTTTCCATGACCATTCCTCGAATAAATTCCAATTAAGACCTCCAAGGCGAATCGAATTCATTTCATCAATAATTTTACTGGTGCAGAAAATATATCGATCAAGCAACTATCGAGACGTTTACGATCAATCGATTATGAAATTAAATCCAGCTCGAGCTGCACAGAAAATCATGAATCAGAAATGCGAGTAATAATTTAAGCATTTAAAATAATTAAAGATAAATTATGGACCACAGGAAATGAAAGTGGATTCTAATAGCTGATCGAAGTCGAAGCAATAAAGTTGATCTAGGTTCGATTTCGTTCGACATATGTCACGATCGAAAATATGATCAAGAGAGAATAAGAATTCAGAACTAGTAGTGCATGACATTGTGCCTTAAGTCAAATTGCTGGAACTTCCAGTATTGAAAATTGTTTTTAAAAAACTGAAATTCTTGAAAACTTTGAAAACAACATTTTTGTGAGAATTTTGAAATTTTTGAAAAAATTGACTTTTTTGAAAAATTCGATTTTTTTCGTTTCGAAAGTTTTTTTATACTTAGAATTTTTCTGCAAAATTTGAACTTATTTTCAAAGAAATCGTGCTGCGTGGGTGTTTTAAAGTAGAAATATCGAAGCGCGTAAGCGCCTCATCGGAGTCTAACGGATAAACATTGATACGAAACCAAATTCATACTTATTATTAAAATCTCTATAAAATATCTGATAATTTGATCCGCATGTGTCTAAAGATCACTACTTTTTTCACTCGTTTTCTGAAACCCTTAGACCTGCCTCCGCAAAAATGTAAACGGTACTTCATTTTGTCAATACAAATAAAATATGTTCTTAAAAACTATTTACCATTACCATTTTTAGCTCTTTTTGCCCCGAATCTCCGTAACGTCAAGACCTGCCTTTGGCAAAAACTAATCAGCACGTCTCCTTATCAATAGGAATCGAATGTTTTTTGAATCATTCAAATCGGTTGATCGAAGCGCCCGAAATCGTAGACGAAAAATTGTATATAAAAATACATACATGCATACAACACATACATACATCAATTTTTCTAACTAAGGTATGCCAAAATGTTCAGAAACATTTGAAACGTAAAGATATCAAACTTTCATGTTCGATTTGTTGGGATTACTAGAACTTACCCTATGGGAAGTTAATAAACTAGTTGAAAGTGACATTTTGTCTTAAGGCAAATTGCCAAATCTTCACAATAGGTGTACTAACTAACTTAATCAACGGAAATTGAGATTTAAGTATTTAGATAAAATTTTCAACTGCTTATTACAAAAATAAAATTTTCGCTTTCACTAAAACTAAAAATTATTTCCAATTGATATATTTCAAACACTTTTATGATAATTGTAATCATATTAATTATTGTGCACAAATATGTGCTTGTCTGTCCACAAAGTGAAACCTATTATACCTCATAAAGATACATCGCTTGGCTTCTAAATTTTTGAAATCGGTCCAGCCGTTTACGAGAAAATGTAGACCAAAGATAAAAAATCGGCTCACATTCATACACACACGACTATACTTATTTCAAACTTGATCTCGACCACTTCACAATGACTTAAACGTCGAACAAATAAAAATAGCGATTCGGATTTTTTTGCGAATGAAAACTTTTCATTCGGGAAGTTGGAGAATATCAATGTCCAAAATTTTTATATGCCTCTATTATTCCTGACATTGGCTTAGAATAATATTTATTACTAATAATTATGGCTTGCTTATAAGTAACATTTGAGAATATTCGATTAGGGTACGGAGTCCATACAATGGAGTATGGACTCCATAGTATGGACTTGACATTGGCTTGGCATATGTTGCAAATCATCAAAAACGTAAAAAAAATATTATGATGAAATGGCCCAGTCGACTTTTACCAAGAACTAATCACCACTATAGTTCCCAAAATCTGTTCAGGCTTTCTTGCCAAAATGTGAACAAAATTTTTTGCATTTTTCTGCCAATTATAAAAACAAAGAAGTTGGTCGAATGTGCAAAACTAATCATCGCGAGTCCTAATGGAATATCATCGAATGGCTTCTAAATTTTAAAAAATCGGTCAAGCCGAGAAAAAGTGGAAAAAAAGATAGAAGAATTGGCTCACACACATACTTCGGATTAAACGTCGAGAAAACACAAAACTGGTAATTCGGTTTTTTTGGTAAAAACATAAACTCCTTCAAGAAGTAAAAAATAATAATGGTTTAACCAAAACAAGTTTTTTACATTTTTTAATAAATATAATAAAAAGTTGGCTATAACGTGCGCTGTACCTTGTATTTCCCTATCTATGATATTGCAAAACCATATGCAGTCTTATCTATGATTTTTTTTTAAAAAATTGCATGGTCTTATTTATTAATTCGCTGGCAACATAGTAAAGGAAGTCGAAAGTAAATTCAAGTTTGGTTCGCTATCGGTGATACCAAATACGATTGAAAAATATACATAACATCGCTTTGAAGCACATAAGCCGCCGTAATAAATGATTATGAAAGTTGTGTCGTGCACATAATCTGCATAAATATTAAAGTAATGGTAATAAAACTAGCCAAGCCATTTAGATACAGGGACTGTAAATCTAATTATCTATTTGTGCAATAAATAGTGCTCCAAACTTAAAATAAAGAACTTATAAATTGTGTTTCAAAATTCTTAAATTGATTTCAATAGCAGAGGAAATATGAACTAAATGGTATGTAAGGACAAAATGACACAGTGGCCTTATTGAAAAATTGTCTAGTTTTAATAACGTTCCTGCGACTCATCCCATGAAGATACTATTATACCATCTGGCAGCAACTAAGAAGGCGTCCATTAATTGGTTTCGTGAGGTTTTCAGAAAAATGGGAGGTTTGACAAAAAATCACGAAATATCACTTGGGAGAGGGAGGGGTGTATTGAGATATTACGTGTATTTATTTTTCAACTATTTTTTTTAAAAAAGTTCAAACATTTTCAAAAAAAAATCAAAAATTGTACAGTTTTTTCACGTAACTAAAAATAAACGTAATGTTTGGTTGGGGAGGGGGGTCATTTTGAATATCAGCATGGATCATCAAGAGGGAGGGGGGGTCCAAAAATCCTTAAAAACTCGCTCACGTAATTAATGGACACCCCCTAAGAGACCAAATTCCATTTCGAGCACTGGCATTAGGCAGGGACTAAGTGCCACTTCCACCTCTAAGGAAGCAGACAGATGTTGAGCGTCATTGTTACACTCTTGTCGGAGTAATTAGTTTGAAATTTAAAGAAATATATAAAATAAATTCAAAGAAAAAAAATAAAATATTAGTAGTATCTAAAAATAGCTGATAGTAATTATATATTTTAACTACCTACAACTGGTTTGTTTAACATTTTCATTAGTCATTCATTCGATTATATTAATTTACCATTCGAAAATAGAAACAGTTGTTTTATGTTTGGATACCGAAAACCATTAACACGAAACAAGTATTTTGATATTTGCAAACAAATCGTAATTAGAAAACTAACATTCATCTAGTTAATTATATACAAAACGATAATTACACTAGACATGAAATGAGGATAATCATGATCATTGAGATAAATGGTACTTCATTGTTTTACTCGTAATTATTGCTCTAAACCCAGTTAAAAGATTGCCTGCATAAAAATTGCTCACATATTTAAATTTACTATTAAAAATATATATATTAAAATCCATTTTAGACAATAATTGCCCAAGGATGAATAATGATTACTGAATCGAGTTGACCAATTTTTCAGAGAATTTTCTAAAGAATTTATGCATTTATTTTCTCATCATCATTTTGTATATATAAGTAAAAATGGCCGATGTAAGGGTTTAAATGATTAAAAAACTATTCAATTCATATTGATAAATGAATGCAGATTAGATTTTGACTGAAAAAGTGTACTAAATAACAGAATGCACATAAAATTATTGAAATTTAGAATTATTATTGAAATGACAATTTGCTAATTACAAATTACAATTATGGAAGTTATAAGATTTCAATAGGATGCATAATTATTTTTACTGTGTTTTGGGTTACTGCTTAAAATTTACTTGCTAATAATATAATAAATAATATTAGTATACTAATATTAAGGATCACTTATGAGGTCTAAAAACAAACTAATTTTTAATTTAGCAAGTAGATTTTAAATGCTATTAAGAAGAAAAACGATTAATGTATATTAAGACAATTAATGAAGATAAAAATTAATGTATATTAATCTGAAATTTATTTGTTTAAATTTTATCCATTACAACTATTTGTATTTCGCAAGAAATATTAATAACCAAAATATGTAATTTTAATGGCAATTTTTAAATTATTATTTGAGAACTCAAAAAAAAAACAAGCTATGTAAAATAGTTTCATCTGTATGTGTAGTTTAAGTAGATTTATTGTAAATTCATATTTTTAAATTCTGTTAAAAAATCAATATTTTTTCATTTCTTCTTTTGATATGCTTCAGGAAAATGTCATCATTAACAAGAAATTTGTTTTAAAATTTATAGACTTGTTTTTAAATTACATTACTAGCTATTTTAAAACCAAATCTATTGGTTAAGAATTTAATTGTTAATTTTAATTAACTAAATGATTTGATTTAAAGCTAAATATCTTAATTATCAGAAATTTTAAGTTAATTCTTATGATGAAACATGAAACAAAAATACAAAGTATAGAATTCCTAATTTCGTAAAACACTAAAACAAAATATTTTCGTATTTAAAAATCGTATATACTTTTGAATGTTAAAATAAGGATTCACATATTATAAAAATGCTTCCAAAAGTTTTTTAATATCATTATTCCTTCCTTTTGTAATAGCAAAACTGCCTTAGGTATAGACAGCGTTCAATATTTCTCATTCTTCGAACAAATGCAATAAAAAACACAATAATTTAGAAAGTAAAATTTCTACGAATTATAGATTATTTCCACGCATTTGGACAAAAAAATATTATTATTATTCGTGTAACAATAATCATATCATACAACCTTAGTATAAACCATATGTAGATTTCTCCTTATAATTTGATTGCAACCTCTATTATGATTACGATTCACGTGCTAAAACCACTTCAACAAATCAAATAATACTTATAAATACATAAATCTATTCATACTTGATATTAAACATCTGTTATTATCAAAATAAAAACATAATTATAATTGAAAAGCAAATCATCTTAACTATTGCTCAAGTTTGCTGTTCAAAGAATAATGTTGCATAATATGATTTATTGTAGGCTGGGCGCGAATTCTGAAGAATAACAATAATTTGTTCCAGGCAAAATAATAAACCACATTGTGGGAAAGTGAAATATTTTGATTTAATCGAGATATATAATATAAAGTACTTTTCGATTGCATCACGAGGAATTTTTCTCAAAGGGAAAATGCCATCTGTACAATAGTATTTTTCTCTCAATAATTTCTTTTTGTGAGGTTTATCGATGAAATTGAGCTAAAATATATATAAATAATATATAGGGTCCACCACCTATAAATCAAACATAAGTAAAGTTATAAATTTTTTAACAACAATATTTGAAAGTACAAGAAAGAAGATGTATAATCAGTCAGCACCTTGATTCTTATGACGTCGCTATCAGAATATAAAAAAGGCAATGTTTGAAAATCTAAATAAAAGTATTTTTTTTTCGTTGTAAGTTTTTTGAGTACTGTTGTTTAGTTTTCCAGACCTTAATATAATTTAGAAGTATACGTTATTTGATTGCTTTATAAGATATATTGCTAATTTCAATTATTGATAGAACATTAACTTAACTATTTTTTAGCTTACATGTGGGTGGAGTAAAAAGGACCAAATAGAATTTTTACCCTGGCAACGGTGTGAAAACAATAAAAAAATGTAAATAATAATATGCATTCAGTTAGAAAAGCAATTATATAAGAAATAAATTTATTTATTTTCTGACGAAACATTAGTTCAGGGTTATATGTATAGTAAACTTTGTAAAAAATGTGCCAAAAATTTTTTATTTTGCGTTGGTTGAAAGAAGTAGCTATTATTTCGTAAATCCTAAGGGAGCATCCATTAATCACTTGATCGATTTTTTAAGTATTTTTGGACCCCCTCCCCCCTTGGTGATACGTGCTAATATTCAAAATTACCCTCCCCCCCTTTCCCAACAAACATCACGTGTATTTTTACGAGTAGTTACGAAAAAAAATGGAACATTTTTTTATTTTTTTGAAAATGTTTGGAATTTAAAAAAAATCAGGTAAAAAATAAATACAAATGATATCTTACTATAACCCCCTCCTCAACGTGATATTTCGTGATTTTTTGTCAAACTGGCGAATGGCGGATCTTTTTAAAAGAATGACACGCAACATTTTTCAACATTAATAAATCTATAAATCTCAAAATAAATTAATCAAAAATCTAAAGAACTTACATCACTCGTATCCGACTGCGCCCTCAGTGAATTTCGTTTAAAATCTGTGCTGAGTCTCGCCTGTTTTGGCAAAGGTTCTTCTTCGTGGTCAGATTGGGAACAGGCCCACGATGGTGTCTAAAAATATAAAAAAAATTATTAACAAAAATTAAAATAAGGCAAGTTGATGGAACATCCCGTAATGTAATCAAACATTCGCGAAAAAAATCAATCATCAATAGAAATTTATCAATGATTAATAACAATTGTTTTAAATATTTTAAAATAGTTGCTATAAATCTAATATAATATAAGTGGTTATATTTGGGCCATTATCTTTATTAATGTTTATCTACAAGAAGAAAAACATAATAAACATCGTCGACACAAGAGCAATATGCTTTTTGAATCACTCTAATCGGATGCGCCGTTCTCTCGAACTGCTATTCTTGACACTATTTGCTTCGTATCTCCGTAAGCACCTTTGTTTTTGCGCTTTTGCGTATATCCAGAACAGATGGACCTGTCTTTGCCAGAAACTACTCAGCACATCTCCCCCACAATACGAATCGAATCCTTTATAAATCATCCAAATCGGTTGATCCGTGCACCCGTAACTTCGCTCCCATGAACGAAAAATTGTATCCAAGCATACACACATCCATTTTTTTAAGGTATGCGAAAATGTTCAGAAAACCTGGTGCTTGAGTTTTGTTTTGAAAATTTTGATTTTTTATAACATTATTCAAAATTATCAAAAAATTTGCTATTTTTGTTTTTTTTCGAGATAACGAAGCGCCGCGGCGTAATTAATCATTACACATTTTAAAACGAAACTCAGAAATGTAAACATTATTTGATGTTTCTACTCACACTTGTGAAAATTAATTTTATCAACAAAGTTGTGATATAGCTAATTACAGAGTTTAAAAATATTAAAAAAATATTTTAAATTTAATAGTAAATTCGCATTCGTGACTAGACAAATATCGAAAATCCAGTTCATTAAAAGGATATTTAATTCTATAATTATTGATACAGATTATCATTTAAATTGAGCTGAAAAATATATAGATAATACATATCATTTTGAGTAGTAAAAATATTTAAAAAAAATAATGGCGAAAGAACATTTAATAGTACAAAATAATGATATATTTAAACCGTTAAGTAACTTCAGAAACGAATAAATCTAAACGGACTTCTAAATTCACAAAGTTTTTAAAATTAGTTGTCTGCGCGATGGTATAATTTATTTTGAATTTTACATTAGTAACAGTAATTCATTCCAGATCTGAGTAAATTAAATGTAGAAAATAAATTGATTTTAAATTATAATTCATCAAAATGAAATAAATAAAATTAGATAGAAGTCAGTTAGAATGATTTCAATTAAGCAGCTATGAACTAAGTGTAGTGAAGTTACACGCAAATAATTAAATATAGATTAAAATCACCTAAACTATTATAGAGTATAATTTGATTTTTAATAATCACCAGTATTCATACCTTCAAAGTCAAAAATCTCTGACAAATCAAAGAATTCATTTTCTAGCACGTTGTAATTAACTAAACTGGACATAAAATAACATGTAACTATAATACAACTATTCATAAAGTCTCAAAAAAATCAACATTAAATCTTCAATGTATCTAAACATTATAAAAATATTTCAAATGATTTCTCTCTAAGTTTAAGTCTAAGTTGTTCCAGGTTAAGAATTTGAAACACTAATATGCAAAGCATTTCATAGATTATATAAAATTCCTTAAATAATTACAATCTATCAGAATGTTGAATTGTTCATAAATAACAACAATAGCCATTCTTATCTCAATGACAAATGCTTTGCAGTAATATTTGTTAATTTTTTGTTGAAATGCTCATTAAATTTCGAATTAAAAGTAATTCATCTGGACGCTTTGTATTTGTGTGGCTTTCTAATTGGCGAAACATTTACATTGTTTTTTTATTTCTTGTAATAATATATATTTTCGCATGCTTTTTGTCAAATAGTAATTTATCATTTTTAATTAAAGTGTACGCGAGCATAATTCGACGAACCAATACCTTTGGAAAAATGCGATGCTTATAATTTTACTATATACGAAATTATAATTTTTGTTTTTGTTCAAGAGAAGTTCTAGAAGTATGTTTGTTAAATAAATGGTAAACAAAACTTTCGAAAAAAATGCAATGGGGTTCAATATATATCCTTCTACTTGTAAGTAATGAAAAATAGGTTTACTAAATTAAAATAATGAAAAGAATTAGTGTAATTTAATGCAAGTTACAATTAAGTAATTTCAAGTTTCATTGTTGCGTTAGCATTAATAACTATTATTAAATTATTTGTAGTGCAAATAAAATCGCGTATTATGTCCTTATGAATTTCAAATCATATGAATTGGTAATTACAAAATGTCGAAAAGTAATGCATTTGTTTGTCGATCAAGCATTTCACACCTAAAACCTAACCTCCAAAAGGCATAAAAATCATAATATTAACTTCTGTTTGGGTTATTGAAGTTTTTTTTATTTCTTATATTAATAATAATCAGAAAACTAATTATATTCTGAGTTATTTACATTAATTAAATATAACAATAAATAGTAAATACTACAATGGGTAATTACAATAATTAAATTGGATCAAGTTAGCTTAATCCTGTATCTTTTATATTTGGCTATATTTGTCATTTTCCATTTATACAGTGAAAACCGACTTTTTTCACTAAAAAACCGGTTTCTGAAAACCGACAAACCCTAGTTCAGAATCAATAGAAGTATTTTTTCTAGACGTCAGTATATTTTTATCATTCCGTACGCTAGTGTTACTTGCATTTTTGAAGCCATGACTACTAATAACATTAATTATTTTATTTGTGAAACTCCATTGCGAAAAACTGAAGTGATTGAAGTGAAAGAAAGAGGATTGGAGACTTTGCGTAAATCAAGTGCTCAAAGAAAGGACAATAAAGGAAAACTTTTAGAAGGACTGAGGTCAATAGTCAAATCAATCAATCAAATCAATAGTCAGAACTATTCATACAAACAATTTCATATTTGCATTAAATTACACATTTAATGGTTTAAAATGTTCAATCATCGGCAAAAATAAAAATGAACAACAAAAATAATTAATTTATGTTATTTCTAGGCCAGACCTGAGCAGAAAAGCTTAATTCATTATTGAAATTATTTATTTATTAGAGAGAATGCGTTCAAGTACAAAGAGCGGCTAAATATCCGATGGTGGGGCGAGCAGCAGAAACTTTGCAACGCACGTACACTAAAACTACTTCACAGAAAAAAACGTTATTGAATAAATCTAGTTTAGTTATTTTAATGTAACATGAGTCAGAAAGGAGATATCGTTGAAAAACTGATTTTTGACGCAATTTTTCCAATATAGCGGCGGCAGCGGCAAAAATTCGAGGTGGCAAAGTTGAAATTCGTAAAGATCACATCAAAATCTATAAAATCACTAATTTTCAAAACTTTCGGAAAACTCTTTAGGCAACAGCATTTTTTTGCACCAAATGACTGGGCTAATTTGCCATGTAGAAAAAGTATATCGTGCGTCTAATTCGTTGGTGTGTTAGTTTGCAGGGTTGATCGACCGCTTTAGTATCGACGACGCCCCCGTTGACTGCGTCTAATTAGCACTTGCGAACCACTAGGCATACCACTAACGGGCCAGCTCGCGCTCCACTCTTAGGACAAGGGTCGGTGGGTAAAATTTTTTACTTTTTTATATGACAAATCTTTATATTCTATCTATCATAATTCACTTCAGACGTGGTAAATTACACAAAACCAAAAAAATGGAATCAATAATTAGAAAAAAATATCTATGTATCCAGATCTTCTTATCATTCTAAGCAATCTAAATAAATTAGTTGCATTGGTGCATAGATGTGTTTGTCTGGGTATCTAATCTATAAAAAAGATTACTATTGAAAGATTCGATTTTTTAATATTTTGAAATTTTTGAACTCTTTTTCTAAGCATTCGTGCAGCGTGGCCGTTTTAGAGAAGAAATATAATATAGCATTTCCATAACAAGGCAGTGTAACCGCAGAATTGGCTCCTAAATAGATGTGCAATTATGCATTTGTGGGATTGCCAGAGAATCTAATATAGAAATATGTGTGTATTATGTCCGGGGATTATAATGTCTACCACCGATATCTCAAAAACAAGTAAGAAAGGAATGTTTCAAAAACAAAATTTGAAAGCAGAGGGCAAAAGATGTGTAATCAAACATCACCTCAAATCAAGCAACGTCGGTATTAGGAGATAAAGGGCCATGTCTGGAAATTTATAACAAAAGTATGTTCTTTCGTTGTTGTTTTTTTTAGTTGTGAGCACTGTTGTTTAGTTTACGAAACTTTAATATGAATTGTAAGTACGTTATTTAATATGAATTGTAAGTACGTTATTTAATTGTATCATAAGATGTATTGTTAATTTTAAGTTAGATTCAACAATTTTCATGCATAACCTTTATTACTTCAGCTTGCATTTGGATGGTGTAAAAAAGACCAACTGAGCATTTACCCTGGCAAAGATGTAAACAATAAAAAATAGTAAATAAAAAAGTGTAAATTCAGTTAAAAAAAACAATTTCACAAAAGATAAATAATAAAGTTATTCCAAATTTGTTAAGGAATATTTCTGTCGAAATACCAGATCAGGATTATATAAAATATAAATTTATATGCTGCATTGGTTGAATGATGAATGAATGAATAAATGAGCATATTATTTCATAAAATCTCTATTGAATTAAAAATAGGACATTTGCCTTATTTCCTTGCCCCCCTGGCAGTCCCAATTTATCACAACTATGGGGTAAAAAAAACAGATGGCAAATTTTACAAAAACAGTAAAAAATATATTTCTATAATTGGGAATTAACTGGAATTTCTACTGAACATAGTACATTTGCTTTATTATGAGTTATGTGTTCTGATGTTCTTCATAGCAAGCAGCCAATCATAAAATTTTTCAAATTTCGAGACCTTAGAAAAAATTAAAAATCAATTATATTATGGATAATATAAACGAGAAAATAATAAAATCTTTCAGTAAGGTTTTTGCAAAAATAATATATTATCTCTCAAACAATATA